TTTCTTCGAGCAGTACAGACAAGATGGTTGTCTTTTAAGACGGTTTCAGAATAGTTGTCTTTCTCATGTTACCAGCAGCCATAAGACTTCAGGCGAGTCACGTCGTATCTGAGGACCTCGGTTTACTCACTGATCAGAAGGAAATATCTGTGCCCACTTAATGGAGCTGTTTAATGAGGTCATTTAAATGAAAGCACGGAAGTCATGAGCACCTGATACAGAGTGATTGTATGTGAAAACAGTGTTTAAAAATTTTGTTTGTTTTTAACAGCGTATTTTAAAACAGCCTGGGGATTCCCAATAGGTGGCTATAACTCTTAAAGCGGGAAGTAGGCCAGGAGGTGAGTCTCTCCGGCCCTGTCTCTCCCTGAGGCACCTGCTCTGAACCACACTGGTAGGGCCTAGGGCAAGAGTCCCAGTGAAGGCACGGCTGCTGTGTGTCTAAATATTTTAAAGTAATAAATCAGGACACCTCATTGTTAAGCCAAATAAGTTCTATCATCCAGTTATAACAAATTCACCTTCATAATGAACTGGAAATTTGAGTTTGAACTTAGGATTCTTGGACTGCTTGGAATTCTGTGCCAAAAAAATGTGACTGACCAGGGAGTGTGGGCTTCCAGATGCCTCTTCTCCCCGCTCCTTGGTTCCCTGCCATGCAAGGAGTGTGTTTATGTGTGGAAACCCCAACCCCCAAGTTCAGTCTCCATATCCTCCTGCAAGCAGCGGCCCTTTGACCACTCCTGAGCCCAGGGGTGCCCAGGTGGTTATGTAGTTCCCTTTGGAAGACAGAATCGGGGGGAAGCGGCACGCCAGGCTGTGGAAATAGGCTCAGAGCTGTCTGGGCACATATCCTGGGGTGCTGAGTTCCTGGACCAAATTCTAGAAACTCTTGGAAGGAATTAGGCTCTTGGTGGGCACGTCCCCTTCCCTTGAGGTTCTTCTTGTGCAAAGAGAAAAAGGACAGCTGGAAAAGGGCCAGACAGAGCAGGGCTCTGAACATAGGGGGCCAGATTCAGGGCCCCTCCTGCTGTGTCTAAGGCTAGTGCTGCCCTGAACCTGGCCCTCCAAGGAGCACAATATGTGAACTGGTAACTTTCAGGTTTGTCCTCTTGAGTTCTGTGGTTCTGGAGGTACCCTCCCAACAGAGTTGAAAGTCCCAATTCCTAATCCTAGTGTTACAGATGAAAGGAGGTACCTTGGTGCCTAATACTCAACTCACAGGTGGGAGCTTTTGCCAGTTCTTTCTTTTGACCACTGAGGCTGCCAAGCGAGGAGCAGTTATAGCCATCCTGGCTCCTAACCAAGAAGATATACAAACTCTGAGCGTCGCCTCTGCCAAGCCAGGTCCCACAGTTGCTTGTGCAGACTCTTAGTATCCCCGTTCTCAGCCCTCGGTCTCTGCGCAGCCTGGTGCCCGCAAGTCCAGAGTCTCCCCTTGGACTGAGTGGAGATGTGAAGATGGATGAGGACTGGGGATCCAGTGATTCTGTGTACAGACCTTGACCCTGTTACCCTGCTGTCAGCATCTTGTGTCTCCTGTCATATGGTGCTTTCCAATTCTGGTGCTTTCCAGTTCTGAGTGGCTCGGGGCCTTTTGGACATGTTGGCTCACTTTTTCAGAATATCCCTTCTGTGGGAGTTTTAGCTGTGCCCGTCTCTGTGGCTGTCAGGAAATCCTACTTCATCTATTTTTCATCTTCAAAAAAATTGTTTCAATCTGGTCTGCTTGTGCCACTACCATTTTTTCCCCATTGTGATTTAATTTCCTTTGTTTTCCTTTCCTGGTTTTTGCCTTTTTGTCTGTTTTTGTTTTGTGGAGTTGCAGGAGTGAGAGGAGGAAAGCACAAGTGGCCAATTCACTATGTTTGACTGAAGATTTATTATTTTTATTTATTTTTTTTGAAGTATAGTTGATTTACGATATTATGTTAGTTTCAGATATACAGCATAAGGATTCAGGTTTTTTTTTTTTAACAGATTATAGTCCATGAACAGTTACTATAAGATAATAGCTATAATTCCCTGAGCTATATAATATATCCTTGTTGTTTATTTTATACATAGTATTTGCCTCTCTTAATCTCATACCCCTCATGTGCCCCTCCCTGCTTCCCTCTCCCCATGGATAACCACGTTTGCTTTCTATATCTGTGAGGCTGTTTCTGTTGCTGTATACATTTGTTTGTGTTATTTTTTAATATTTCACATATAAGTGATATCATACAGTATTTGTCTTTCTCTGACATTTCACTAAGCATAATACTCTGTAGGTCTGTCCATGTTGTTGCAAGTGACAGCATTTCATTCTTTTTTATGGCTGAGTAGTATTCTGTTGTCTGTGTTAGGGTGTGTGTTTATACATATGTGAATATTTTTACATCTCTTTTATCCATTCATTTGTTGTGGACACTTGGGTTCCTTCCATGTCTTGGCTATTGAAAATAGTGCTGCTATGAACATTGGGGTGCATGTATCTTTTTGAATTACCGTTTTTATTTTTCCTGGATATATACTTAGGAGTGGATCATATGGTAGTTCTATTTTTAGTTTTTTGAGGAATCTTCATACTGTTATCTGTAGTAGCTACACCAGTTTACATTCCTGCCAACAGTGACATCTGCATCCTTGCCAACATTTGTTATTTGTAGACTTTTTGATGATAGCCATTCTGACAGGTGTGAGGTAATTTCTCACTGTGATTTGATGTGCATTTTTCTAATAATTAGAGATGTTGAGCATCTTTTCATGTGCCCATTGGCCATCTGTATGTCTTCTTTGGGAAGATGTCTGTTCAGGTCATCTTCCCATTTTTTTGATTGTGTTGTTTGTTCTTTTGATGTTGACTTATATGAGCTGTTTGTATATTTTAGATATTAACCCCTTGTCAGTTGCATCATTTGCAAATATTTTCTCCCATTCCACAGGTTGTCTTTTTGTTTTGTTGATGGTCTCCTTTGTGCTGCGAAAGCTTTAAGTTTAATTGGATCTTATTTGTTTATTTTTGCTTTTATTTCTTTTACCTGAGGAGACAGATCCAAAAAAAATATTGCTAGGATTTATGTCAGAGTGTTCTTCCTATGTTCTCTTCTTTATGGTATCATGCCCTACATTTAGGTCTTTAATCCATTTTGAGTTTATTTTTGTATATGGTGTGAAGAAATGTAATCTCATTCTTTTACATGTAGCTGTCCAATTTTCCCAGCACGACTTACTGAGGAGACTGTCTTTTCCCCATCGTATACTTTTGCTGCCTTTGTCATAGGTTAATTGACCAAGATGTGTGGGTTTATTTCTGAGCTCACTATTTTGTTCCATCGATCTATGTGTCTGTTGTTGTGCCAATACTATGCTATTTTGATTCCTGTAGCTTTGTAGAATAATCTGAAGTCTGGGAGGTGATACCTCCAGCTTTATTCTTTTTTTCTTAAGATAGCTTTGGCAATTCAGAGTCTTTTGTGGTTCTATATAAATTTTAGGATTATTTGTTCTAGTTCTATGAAAAATGTCATGGATATTTTGACAGGGATTACATGAAATCTGTAGATAGCTTTGGGTAGCGTGGTTATTTGAACAATTTAATTCTTCCAGTCTAAGAGCATGGGATATCTTTCCATTGCTTTGTATTATCTTCAGTTTCCTTCATCAGCATTTTATAGTTTGCAGAGTATAAATCTTTCATTTCCTTGGTTAAGTTTATTCCTAGGTATTTATTCTTTCTGATGTGATTATAAGTGGGATTGTCTTTTTACTTCTCTTTCTGATCATTATTACTGAGGATTTAAATAGTACTAACAAAGGAGTGGGCACAGATGTTCATTGAGGGTTTCATCTATATCAGGATGGCCTCAAATCCCTTCTTTCCTGCATTTTTTCTTTCTCTTCCTAGATTTCCTTAGAGAGTCAGGGATCTACCACACAGTCAAACTGTCTTCAGGCCACACTGGGCCAGTGGGTAGAAAAGCCTTAATTTTCCAGACAGCAGTTATTCTTACCTGTTTCCCTTGTTATCTGGTATTCAGGTTCCAGAGTGTAGAACTGAGCCCAGTCTCATAACCCCAGCGGGGACTGGCTCACCACAGTCATGTTAGATACATAGCGGTGCTTTTTTTCCCCTTTAAGATTCCTCAGTTCTTGAACTTGCTCAACAGAGTATAAAACGCACAAAATAGATAGATGGAATTTTGATTAATCTAATCTCCTTAGTGAGTTCTGTGGTGAGTTAAACTCATTCATGGTCCTTACTTATAAGAACATATATGTGAACATTCATTTGCACAATTATGTACTTATTATTATATTCCTGTATTTGTATAAGTCTTTAATTTGGAAGAAACACTTTACCTCTTATATCAACTTTGTCCACACCATCAAGAAGGGGTTTTGAGTTCTAGAGAAGCAGCAGACCCTATATTTGAGAGCTTCTTGGTGGGCAATTTTAAGAAGGATGCTTTCAGACTGGAGTGTGTCCTAAAGAAATACCCAAGATACTTAACACATGTCTCTGAGTGGTGATCAAAAAACTTGGTCATTTTTATCAGAGAGGAGAGGAAACACCGGGAGATGAGGTGCAGGTTCCAAGTACCTAAGGCGCTTTAATGGAAGAAGGACCTCGTCTGCCGTGTGACTCCTATGGGCAGACCTGGGACCAGTGGGGCAAGTTACAGCAGGCTGAGTGCTGACCATGAGTCAGAATCTGACCATTGGAGCTGCCTCAGAGAGAGTGAGGAATCTTCTGAATCTGGAAGAGTTTCCTTGGGAGCTCTGTGACTTTTTGGCAGAGCCGTTGGTTATGTGAGGGGACCCAGTGTCCAGCTCCAATATTCATCCTATGACTTTTAAGTCTTCAGGTTTGGAGCGTTAGGTTTGGAATTTGATAGGAGCTGATACAGCTCTTTTGTTTGGTTGGTTTCCATGGTAGAGCCTATAAGAATTTTTGAACTATTTCCAAAGTATCTCCCCAAAGCCCATTTCTGAATTGTGCATCCTTTCTCTTGCAGGAGAAAATGCAGAAGTTTCCATGGACGTTTCCCTGGCTTACCGCGATGATATGTTCGCTGAGTGGACTGAAATGGCCCGTGAGAGAGTGCCCCGGAAACTCAAATGTACCTTCACCTCCCCCAAGGTAGGGTCCCTTGGTGTCTCAGTTGATGGGGTGATTATTGTGTTTCTAGGTACGTGGGAAGATTTGCTTGACAATTTGCAGGCACGTTCTTTGTTTCTTAGCATGCACAACGCATGGAGGTTAGTAGTCTTTGTCCTTTGTCTTAGAAGAAGGCAATGTAGGTATTTCATGCCCCTGCACAGGAGGAAAAAGCAGAGGAAGGAATGTGCATTTGAAGTGATTTAGTTGTTTCTATGAAATGCCTCCATAGAAATGAACTCTTGGTTCTTTGGTTATTAGCTAAAAGTGTTTGAAGAATGTTGCTAACTTAATTTTAGGTGTGTAGATCTGCTCATATTGGATCAATGCTTGTGTGTGCTTCTCTGTTTCTTAGGCGTCTCTGTTGCCAAAGTCAGCGTGCAGGTGCGAAGACTAACAATGCCAGGGAACAAAGAGCAGAGATAAGAGGAGGACCTGAGGGAGAAATCTCACTTCCTCTGAGACCTCCCAGTCCTCTTACACACGTTTAGGTCTCTCCCGTCCCTGGTTCTTCCAGGAGGACCTGTTCAACCACTGATGGAGGAAGGTCACTATCCTGCATGAAAGTTTTTCTGGGACAAAGGCCTTAGATTCTTGAGAGATTAAAATATAGGGATGGACTCAGTGACCCTCAGAGGACAATGGGATTTGCTGGTATAAGAACTAAATCAGAATCAGTGGAGGGACCTTTTCGGATGCCAAGTGCTGCCCTCACACAAGCCCGCCCCCCCCCAGGATTCTGTCCCCCTTCCCAGCTCCCTGCCCCCTCCCTGAAAGTCTCTGTGAAGGTGCAGCGGAGCCGCAGTCACCACTCCTCTTGCTTGTTCACATTTCTCAAGGAGCACCACCAGCCAGGTGATCGCTGATGTCCCTGCAGGGGCAGAAATAGTCTTGTTTTCTTTGTGTGAAGTGCGTGGGAGGCCAGACTGCAGGGAAGCACGTCCTTGATTATGTCACTTGTCACTTGGTGTCTTCACGTCAGTTGCTCTTGAAGGACTTGGTCTACCTTGTAGCACCCGTTCTGCTGATTGATTAGGTTGCTCTCTTCTCCTGACATCGGCCTTTCCTAACTTCACTTTTGCCTGTAACTGCCAAGTTAGGGTGCCCTGTGGTATGGTCTGAATGGCAGGTTGAAGCCTCTGAGTACCATGCCCCCACCCTGTCCATCCTGCCCTGAAGAGGAGTGAGATGTGCGGGGCAGGTTCATTACCAGTAGTTAAAGGCCTGGATGTGGAGCAAAACACACTTGGCTTCAGTTCCAGGGTGTATCGCTGACTGACTGCACGACCTCAGGCAAACTTGCTTAATCTGCCCGGTTCAGCTTCTCCATTGCAAAAGTGGGATCGTAGTTCCTTTATACATATGGGAATCTCTCTGAGGACTAGATGAGATAATGAACAGAAGCTGGGTGACCTTATCCCTTAAAATCTAGTCCTGGGACACGTTTGACCAGATGGGCCACCAGGACGAAAGGTATAAACCGAAACGCTCCTGGCAAACCGTACACCCTACACACGAGCACTTTTTGGGGCACCTGGTGGTTTTTAAGTCTCCCTCCCCAGGTTCCCTAGACCAGAGCCACAGAAAGTGTGGTCTAAGGACAGACAGCATCAGCATCTCCTGGTAGCTTGTAGGAGATAGAGATTCCCCGGTCACACCCCAAACCTCTAAATCAAAATCTCAGTGAAGGACGAAGGAGTCTGTGTTTTAACAGGATTTCAGTTCCTTCTCTTAAGCTTGATAAAGCTTGAGTGACTTCAGTAGACCTTCTGCTGAATGATCAGATATCCCCCCACACCTCCCCCCAAAAGCCATTTGAAACTGTTTTGGGTAGGCCCTTGGGGGAAATCTATATGTAAAAATGAATGGTAACGAGAAACTAAAGGTGGCAGGAGAGAGGAATAGCTAATATTTTCAGATCTTTGTATGCAATGGAGGGAGTTAATTATAATCTCTCTAGCTGTCGCTGCAAGTTGATTGCATCTTTCAGAGGTAAGACTTGGATACCTAAACTAAAGGATATAAAGCTTTGGATATGGTATTTCATCCTCAGAAGAGGGAAAAGTCATTTCTCACCTAACTTCTACACTTAGAGGGCACTGAGAAGCAGAGTGGGGGGGAGGTCATTAAGAAGTCTGCAACTGCTTAATGACAGTTGCTTAATTAGCTTTAGGATGTGTTGATCTCTTTCAAGAAAGATATTAAACCTTGAAGAGTGTGAAGGAAATGAATCATCAAATCTATGCTTTTTGATTGCAGTGAAATTTAGACTTGAGGTCTGAAGATAAAATGAGAAATTGCTTTAAAGCTTTTTAGTCCCTGGTGGATTGTGAAGTTAAAAAAAAAAAAAAGTCAAGTTGCCACCTGCTGTAATTTGTCCTAATTAGCCAGTCTCATGTTGGAGTTGGAGGGCTGAGGAGGACGGGGGAAAGGAAAGGGAGGGAGGAAGAGAGAGAAGGAAATCTTTCTTCCTAAATGCCCTAAATACCGGCAGAGGCAGAACCTCAGTGCAGAAGGAAAAGGACCCAGCAGGATACAGTGAATCTGTCTCTGAGACAGGTAGGCCAGGCCAGAGTCCCAGGATCCTGCGTGTCTCTGTAGTTTGTTGGACTTAGGTAAATTTGTCTCTTGTGGTGGTGTTACCCTCTTGTAGGGACAGGGAAGTGGAGGACATGCAGAGGCCCTTGATGGGGCATTAGAAGGAAGCCTGGAGATCATCTTATTAAATCATCTTGTTTTCTGTCTTAGGAAGAAAGTGATGCCAAATGAAGTGGGTGACCTTCCAAGGTACCCAGCAAGGGGTGAGGTCAGGACTAGAATTGATGGCTCCTGGCTTGAAGTCCAGTGCCCTCCTTATCACAGCACGGTGCCTACCTTCAGATGTGTCAGAGGCAAGAGCTCTCCTGTCTTCATGCTGTACCCAGTCAGTGGCATTAGACTAAATAAGTTTTGTTTCCTCCAAACTTTCAATTTCTATAAGACCCTGACTGGAGACATATCAGAAAACCCTCCTCTTGTTACCACAGAGGGTAACCAGCCTCCTCAGTGCAGCCTCATCTGAGGCTGAATTAGAGCCCATAATGTGTTTTCAGTAGTTCTGCAGAGTCCTAATAATAGCATTGATTTGTAAGTATAAAAGAGAGGAGCAGAGGGGAGAGACAGATCTATACAAGAAGACTTACCTAGCCTGCAGCTGAGGTTTGGAAAAGAAGGATTCTTTCTATAGAAGGATTTTTAAAATCTCACATGCCATGTCTAGGCAACTCATAGTTCTGATAAGCACTCCTCAGACCTTAGAGGATGAAAAGTGATCATGATTAATTAGTGATGTCTGCCGTGAGTGGGAAAGGAAAGAGTAGAAGCGCGTAAGCCAGGTGATTGCCTGCTCTGCCTCTGCTTTTGTCGTGTGTGTCTCCTGCTCTGTACAAAGATCTGTTTGTTGCACTCTAGGCTCTGACTGTCCAGTAAAGAGGCCCCCAAGATCACAGAAGGGGCAGACTCCTTGTTATTGTCCTTCCAATTTCTCCACTGGACTTCTTACTCTGAAGATTTACAGAAAATGACGGAGGTTCCGAGGAGTCAGGCTTAGAAACACCAAATTCAGTCTCCCTTAGCACTTCCTCAGGAGGTACCAGCAAACATTGAAGCTGACATATGAATATGACAGTGAAGACAGACATTCCGCTGCTTTATCAGAGAAGGGTCCCTGGCTGATAAAGCTCATGCCTCTGCATGGCCACACTTACCCACCTACCCCTACCCCTTGACCAGGGCACGTGGCCATGTGTCCTGGGGTAGAAGAGCAGAAGTTAGTTTTCAAAAGCAAGCTGTGCCCCTACTCGCCAATCTCCCACTGCCGTGTGCTGGCTAGGACCTGTTAAATTTCTTGGCAGGAAGTCCAAGAGGCTTTCCTAGAAACTGAGCTATATTTATACTTTTTAATTAAAATTTCTGCTCCCTTCTGCCATCTTGTCTCTTGGGCAGTTGGAAAGCTTTTGAGGCAGAAAATGGCAAGAGGTCATCTTTAGCAAACTAATCTCATTATTCTCTTTCATCCTTTTGTGTCTTTCCAGATTCCAATGGCTCCTTGGGTTGCTTTTTTTTTGGGTGGTCAAATCAGTAAAAAGATATTTTCAGCTTCTTACACCCTTTCCTGCAGGCCGAAACTATGTAAATAATTAGCCATCATCCAAGAATGTGATGAACATTAGCAAGGGCTTCTTCCTGAATATTTAAGGAGTTGACCGTTTCACAGTGCCTTCTGGGTCTCTGATGATACCCTGCAAATAGCCCTGGTAGACAAGGGTAGTCTGATGCAAGGCTCTAACAAGGACTGAAGAGCTGAGAAAGGTGTTGAAGAAAGAAATTTCTGCTCATTACCTAAAATTTCTGGTTTTACTGTGGCTTTTTTTTTTTCTGGAGATGGGTAGTTGACAGACATACCATGCCTCTGGTGTACCCTGTTACCTGTACCTCAAAGGTATATGTTTAAGCATTAACTTTTTAGAATTGGTGCTATTGAGGCAAAAGCCAGATAATTCAGACATAGTCTATTGGAAATAGTGACCCTGCCTCAAACCCACCACTCTTCTTCCAGACCCCGGAACATGAGGGCCGATACTATGAATGTGATGTCCTTCCTTTCATGGAAATCGGGTCTGTGGCTCATAAGTATTACCTTCTAAACATCCGGCTGCCTGTGAATGAGAAGAAGAAAATCAACGTTGGGATAGGAGAGATAAAGGATATTCGACTGGTGGTAAGTGAATCTGATTGATCCAGGCAGCCTGTGACATCAGAGCACTGGCTAGGAACACTGGTTTGTGAGCATGTATTGGAAGGAACCTCCGTCTCACTCTCGGCATCTCCATGTCTCAATTATTTCACCGAGAAGTAAGAATAATAACAAACCCATGATGGCTGAAATCATAAATTTGTGTGAGAGACTATAGAAATGGACAGTAATGCAATTATTGTGTCCTTTCAAGGTTTTAATACAATGATCATGATTGCATAATGAATAACACCAAGATAAAAGTAAGTTTTCTTTTTAAGTGTTTCACCTTGCAGGCACTGATGTTAAAGGGAGCAGTAGTGGTTTACCTAAACCTTTCCATTTTATCTCTTCAGCAGAGAAAAAAGTAAAATGTGGAGCAAGACTTTAAAAATCTAATTTAGATTTTTTTTAATTTAAGAAACAAATACATATTTATTGTAGAAAGCTAGAAAGTGCAAGTAAACACACAGTAGAACATAAAAATCACCTATCTTAGCCTACCATCTAGAGAAATAACACCTTGATGTTTAGCTAGATCTCCTTATGGATTTTTTCCATATATATTTTATATATATATAAAATATATATATTATATATATAAAATCCTTTCCTTACAAAAAAGGGATCATACTCAATTGTTCCTTGCTTTTTAAAATTTTATGGTATATTATGAATACAATATAAATACACTTTGCAATATGTCCACAGTATGGATTTACCTTAACACATTTTACTAATGCAAACATTTTGGGCATCAAGATAGCTCCAATTTTTCAATGAAAATGTTACAGAAAAATCTTTGATCATGTTTTTAATCATTCCCCGGGGACAGAGTGAGTCTATTTTTATGCCTTCTGATTTACATGTCTGCAGTGCCTGAGGAGGGGTCAGGGGAGGCAGGTGGGGAGTATGAAGACACTACATGCTGTGGATGTTAAAGCTCTTGATCTTGAAAGTTCGGCAGAAAAGGTCTCTATTGACCTCTCCCCAAAACGCATCTGCCGGTAGAAGTAACACTAAGATATACTGGCTTTCAAAATCATGGTTGGTCTCTGTGCAGGGCATTCACCAAAATGGAGGCTTCACCAAGGTGTGGTTTGCCATGAAGACCTTCCTCACCCCCAGCATCTTCATCATTATGGTGTGGTACTGGAGGAGGATCACCATGATGTCTCGACCCCCAGTGCTGCTGGAAAAGTAAGAGCTGACCTGGGAGCACTCTTAAGGAACACTGGCATTCTGTGATTTGTCTGCCATGGTCCTGGTTTCGCTGGAGTCTAGTTCAAGTGGTCCGTGTGTTACTTGTGCTGGTGATGTGACCAGGAATCAATCTGGACTCCCTTGTCTCCTTCAGCTTTCACTTGCAAACTGTGATTAAGTCCTAGGGGTTCTACTGCTCTCAGTTCCCACTCTCTGTTCTGTCTTTGCTTTTTATTCCTGTGTTCTGAATCAGATATTTCTCTCTCTTACTGGGGATGAACTGCCTTGCTTCTGATCCCAACCCCTCTCACCTCCAGAAGGATGACGTTCCTGTAGATACATCCCCTTTTCTCTCCCACATTATTGACTCTTTCCTTTCTGCTCCCATTAATATACAAACACACTCTACCATCGCCCATTCTTAGTCAGAACTCTTTGTACTGCCTTCTGAAGCCACCGCCCCATTTTTCTGCTCCTCTTTACAACAGAACTCCTCAAAAATCTTGTCTATTCATTGTTTCCTCCTGTTCTTTGAGCCCATTCCACACCTTATTAAAATTGCTCTTGACAGGATCACCAGGGACCGCCTCATGCCAAATCCAATGCTCATTTCTCAGTCCTCCCTTTCGTTGATTCTTCATCAGCATTTGACATAATCGATCACTCCCTTTTCTTCATAGAGCCTCCTCGACCTGTCTCATGGTTCTTCTCCTCCTTTGCTGACCATCACTAAGTTACTGTGGCTGTTTCCAGGCATCTTTCCGAGCCCTGAAACTGTGGAGCCAGGTCTCAGTCTTTGGACCTCTTCTCTTCATTAGCTAAGCTTCTTTCCCAAGTGGTCTCATCTGGTCTTGTGGTCTTAAAAATCATATACACCCCTATGACTCTTCGTTACATGGTCAACCTCAGCTTCTCCAACTCTAGACCAAAGTATTTCACCTGTTTATTGAACATCTTAACTTACACAAAAATAGAACACATACAAAGAACCACACTTGTTTTCCCCCCACTTCACTTTCCTTCCCTTTCCTCTTTCCAGGCATCCTCATCTTAGGAAATGGCAGCTCCATCCTTCAGCTGCTCAGGCTAACACGTAGGAGGCATCCTTCACTTCTCCTTTTCTCACACCCCTCTTCCAGCACACCAGGGATCTTACCATTTCCGCTGTGACCTCCCTAAACTAACTCACCGAGATTTCTCATTTCTCACCTGGACTATTGGAAGCAGCCTTTTCACTGCTCTCCTTGCTTCCATCATTTTTCTTCCTGCATTCTATTCACACAGCAGCCAGACTGTTCCCTTTTAAGTAGAAATCAGATCACTCTTCTGCTCAAAGCTCTCTGTTGGCTTTTTATTTCCTTTGCACTGGCCTGTAAACCCTGATGATCCGGACCCTCACCACCTCTGATTTCATCTCCTGTTCTGTCCACCACCCACCATCCACCTTGGCGGTGCTCAGACATGCCGGTGTGCACTCACCTTGCAGCCTCTGCACTTGCCATTTTTGTCATCTGAAGTGCTCCTTCGCAGGTATCTCATTTCCTTCAGGCCCTGATATTATGTCTGTCTTAGAGGCTTCCTCCTGTCTACCTTATTTAAATTGCACCACATCATTCTCCATTCACTTACCTTGCTCTATGATACTTCTTCATAATACTCATTCTCTATTATCATTCCTCACCCCATCTGAATACAAGCATCCCTGGAGCAGGATCCTCACCCTACTTTGTTTACTACTGTATACTTGAATCATGGCTGGCACATAGTAGGAGCTCAATAAAAAAGACTTTGTTGAATGAATGCATGCATGAATGAATGAATGAATCATGTCACTCCATGGTTTAACCTTCTTATTGGATCCTCAGTCCTTATAAGATAAATTTCAAATTCTGTAATGAAGTATGCAAGTTTCTTCATGAGCTCAGCCTTTTCTTCTTCTTTCTTTTTTTTTTTTTTTAGATTTCTCTGGTATCATGTCCTGGCATTTCCTGAAGTGTGCCACATGCAGTTCCCCAAATGATTCAGGCTGTTCCAGGTCTCTGTGCTTCCATCCAGGCTCTTCCCTCTGTTTGGGATGCCCTTCCACCTCCCTAACCTTGGCTCACAATGCAGCTCACTTTCTGTCTCGATCAAAGTTAGAAGACCTGGTCACAGCCTGTGCACACTTCAGTTGCTTATTACACGTTACCTGGCTCAGCTACTAAACATACCTCCTCAAATGAAAGAACTGGTCCTGCTCATTTAGGTGTCTGTGGCCCTAACAAAATGCCTGGTACATGATCTGTGCTTAATAAACACAGCATGAAAGTATGAATAAATCAGTAACAAAATAAATGATATTTTGGTAGAAAAGTGGCAATTAACAGGGGAAAAGCAAAATAAAAATGAAACAAGCAGCTAAAATAATTTATACTTCATATTGTTTGGAGTCATGTATTATTGAAACAAATATGCTTATATAGTTCATAGTTGCTGAGGATAGCATAATAATGAGTGTTCTTAATGATCAGGTTAATGATACCCTGAATAGATAAGAGAGGATAATTATATTCAGTGAAGTCTGTTAAGAAGGCAAGGAGGGTAAAAACATTGCAGGAAGCTCCCAATCTGAGGTGGCACCAAAATAAAGCTCAGAACATTCAAGAGGTTAGGTTCAGTTACTATATAGAAAGATTAACATAACCGTCCTTTATTCTGCAGTGGTGCCAGTGAAGGAAGACATTTTGTGTCTCTGTGTAAAATCTTACTATGAGAGTGAAGAAACTGGTCATATGGTTTCAGTCCCAATGTGTAACATCATCTCAGTTCCGAAAACTGGGTTTTGATTTTTGAATCAAAAAGGTTTTGCCTCCCAGAGGAATAAAGTAATTTCCCTAATATTTTCTCACCATCAGAGTCATCTTTGCCCTGGGGATTTCCATGACTTTTATCAACATCCCAGTGGAATGGTTTTCCATCGGGTTTGACTGGACCTGGATGCTGCTGTTTGGCGATATCCGTCAGGGCATCTTCTATGCAGTGCTCCTCTCCTTCTGGATCATCTTCTGTGGCGAGCACATGATGGTAAGCGCCCCGGGGGACAGGAGGAGACAGTGGGTGAGGCTGAATAAACTAGTGGATACAGGAGCCTGCTCAAGAGCCCTGGAGTCAGACTCTTGGTTCAAATCCCTGTGTCACCCCTTATAAACTAGCTGCTAAGTGACTTAATCTCTCTGAATCTCAGGTTCCTCATCTGTAAAATGGGGTGTAAAGGATAATGTATAGGGTTTTTGTGGGGTTTAGATGAGATAATGTGAATAAGTATTTAGCAGAACTTAAACACACAAACTTTAATGATTATCACTACTTCTTGTCCTTTGGCTTTAGCCCTGCTTGTCCCCAGGACCAAGGTAACCACTAGAGATTGTGGTTACCAGATCTGTCCAGCTGGCAGTATGTCCAGGTGGCCTAGTAACCCCTATTACCCTGAAATGCTGACCTCCCTGGTCTCAGCTTGTCCAGACACCAAATCGTATTTCAAGAGGGACTGAAGGTACCATGGATAAAAATAAAAATGGTGCAGTCATCACGCTGTGGCTGAGATGAGAAGCCAGCTGGAGCTTGGTCCTTGTGTCAGGCACATGGGCCTCATAGTAGATGGACTCTTAAATTCCTCTGTGGTTTGATCATTGCTTCTGAAGCCTTGCAGCCTTCCCAGGAGAGCCATGAGAGGAGAGGGAGGCTTCTCCTCACTGCTGGGGTGGGCCTAAGGGGTCCTCCAGCAGGTGCACTGACAGCCCCGGCAGCGGGGACTGGGTGTGGAGGGGCTCAGGGACAGCGGCAGGACAGCCAGCCAGGGTGATTGCCCGGCTTGGATGCTACGGCATGTCTTTTACCCTTCCTGGTTTCCCCACTTTACATCCTCCATTTTCTGTCTCTTACCACCTTTGTGTATCTATCAAGAGGAACCATTCTTGTTTTTAATGAAGATAGAGCATATCTATTTTCCTGATCATAAGAGACCTCTCACACTAGATAAATTTTTATTGCTTTTGAGTCTTTTGTCCTCTGGAACCACCCCACCTTAACAACCACAAGTGGTAAATCACATAGGAATTTAACTGTGAATGAGTTATTTTTGGACCACAGAACTTCCACTGCCTAAGGTATGCTGGGGACAAAACTTGCCACCCCAAACCAGAATATCTCTGTGGCATGTGAGTTATTTCGAGCTGAAAACAATCAAGACCCAAAAGACTCAGGAAGAAACTTTGACCTTCCCCCTGACTGCCTTAAAGAATTAAAGCTAGAGGGCCCAAGAATTAAAGATAGAGTTATCACGGGAGATATCTGCAAAGAAAGGGGGCTGGGGGTGGTGGGGGAGAGCTCTAGGCAGGGCCTAAAAGATGGGAGTTTCCTCCATCTCTGCAGGACCCAGCAAACATTTATTTACCAGACATTTGCTTTCCATTTCCACGTGAATTGCTTTCTTATCCTTTGAAGTCCCAAACCACTACCCACAACATCCTCTTTTGTCTTTAGCTGAGGGTGGTATTTAAGGTGAGAGTTTTGGCCATTTGGACAGGTTATTCAGTTTTCCTGGGACTCTCCCTTGGGGACATGTTATTAAACTTTTGTTTGATTTTTGCCTGTTAATCTGTCTCACGTCAGTCCAAGTCTTAGACCAGGTAGACAAACCTGGAGAGGTAGAGGAAAATATCTTCCTCCTAGACAGGGACAAGGCCTTTCTTTGTGTTCCTGTAGCATCCTGCTCCCTTGTGGAAGGGCGAACAACAATGAGCTCCTCAGGGACAGAGATTTTGGTCTCATTCATCCTGGTATGCTAGAGTCTAGCAGATGCTTGGTGCACAGCAGGTGGTCAGCAAGGATTGTTTGAATGACCAATGACCGGCTCACCTGCGGAGTCACTTAGCCCTCCCCCATCTTTGTCTCACTTCTCAACTGGTTTTTCTCAGGATCAGCACGAGCGGAACCACATAGCAGGGTATTGGAAGCAAGTCGGACCCATTGCTGTTGGTGCCTTCTGCCTCTTCATATTCGATATGTGTGAGAGGTGAGCAGGGGACTGTAGGACTCTGGGCTGAAAGGAGTGTCACCATGTCCACTCCCAGCTCTTTAGAAAAAGTATTTGAAAAGGAGAGGGGTGGTCGGGAACCTGTGGGATGAAAGCATTGGCCATGGTCACATCCTCAGATTAAAGACTGGGATGAGATCAAAGACAGAGCTCTTTACAGATGCAAAATATTTGAGCTGATCATACTCTTCAAAATCCATCTCTCTTTAAGTCCTCTGTGACTTAATCTAAATACAGCCCCCACCCCTCCAGGCTGAAAAGCTGGGAGTATGTAAAAAGGAAAGTTCCCCTTTTCCTCTGTATTAATAATGTCTTGCTTTTCCATCTTGTTTCTCTTTGTAGAGGGGTGCAACTCACAAATCCCTTCTACAGTATCTGGACGACAGATGTTGGAACAGAGCTGGCTGTATCCTTCCTTGATGGGCTCAGGGTTTTATTTCTTCCTGTAGCTGCCTGGTCCCCATGATCATTTTCTAAGTCACGCTGATGATCTCCATATGTGCTCGGCCAGGGCTTTGATCTTCAGACCAATGATAACGGCACAATTAAGGCAGATAATGAGAAGAATTAATGCTTGCTTTCAACCCCAGGTAAGAGCAGGCAAAACAGAGGTTGCAGCTCATCCCCATGGCAGAGGGATCAGAGTTGCTGGTCTTACTGCTGCCTGTCTGAATTATCTATTATATACTTGTTTACCGCAGACTGAAGCATGACTAGCTTTTCCCTGGAGCCACGGAGATTCGTCTCTGGGCCCCTGTGGGAGAGCTTGTTTCTGAAGTCATCTGTGTGCAAGACTTCTTACACTGACCTTGGTGTGCTGGCATCCCATGCCGCTGCTGTTCACTTCCAAGACCCAGTGGGGATAAGGCTAAGGTGATTAGTTCCGGAGGAGTGTTGGAGGCTCCTGGTTGGTTGGCATAAAACCCCATCTGAGTCATCTTCATGAAGCAGAAGCGACAGTCTTAGCTTATCCCTTTTAGGATGCTGGATTTAAATAATTTATCTCCCACAATAATATGTTAAGTGCTTCAAGATTAAAAGACTGTCCTCTTGGAGAGGCGAAAAAGGCTTGAGTTGTATTCTTTCGTGATGGGTAATATCTTGTCATATGCTGGTAAATATGCTTTGTCTGGCCATGATGTTTATATTGGCTTCTCAGTATCACGAAAATTTTGTAAGCCAACCGATCAATAGTATCAGTGCTTTAAAGATGAGGGAGTTGAGCTCCTCCTTTCCCCCATCCCCCCACCAAAAAATGTTAGCTGCACAACACCAGGAACATTTATCATGTTAAAGTCACCTCAACCCTTGCATTCTGTAGATACGATGGAGGTCCAGGGAGGCAAACAGTTGTGAAGGCCTGCCGCATAACTCTATTCTCTCATCCAAGGGCACCATTGATTTTAGGGAAGAAGAAACTGCATTCAATGTATTATTTAATGAAATACAAATGCCGAGTTCAAGCTTGTTAACATTTTAAAAATATGCAACTTGGGGTGTGGTTGTAGCAGAAGGGAGTTGGAGTCTGGTCACCTGCCTCCCAAAGCCAGCTTACTCCACCCTGAGCCTTGATGGTTCTCAGATTAAGTTTTAAAGATCAGCCTCAGACTGTATGGCCCCCCACCCTCAATTCCCACCTTGGCCACGTGTCCTGCTTCTGGTTCCACTTGACAAGATTTTTCTTGTGGTGGCAGAAGATGGCAGATAGAACTCCATCCCTGCTTTTACTTCAAGAACTTCAATCCCATGTCAGCATCCCTTGCAGCTGCTGCTGCTGCACCCAACCCTCACGCCATCCTCTCCAGACGCCGGGGCATCTCAGTCGCCTCATACAAATCCAGGGATGAGCCCAGTGGTTCCCAGACTTGGTTATACTTGGGTTTCCTAGCCCCTGGACAGTCTCATTCTGCATATCAGTGGGACCTAGGCACCTGTGTTTTTAACTCTTGTGGTGACTTTAAGGCCGCTTTCTGCCTGGCCAGTATTGTACAACCAATATCCAATATTTTAGTGCTTTTCAAATTTTCTGTGCATATGGCTGTGCTGGGGACCTCGTTAAAGGCAGGTTCTGATTCGGCAGCAGGTCCAGGGTGAGCCCTAGAGCCTACATTTCTAACGAGCAAGGCTTTGTTCCTCTTCTTACAGAGCTTGGATAGCAACTTGGGACATTCCTCACTGGTACTTTTGTGTCAGAAAACCTCTCTGTTGTGGCTATTAGAGTGCCAGGCTTTAGTATTTTATCCCCCTGAAAATCACCTAAATATCTAGAGACAAAGAGTATTGACACAGATCTGGGGAGAAGTGCTGGGGTCCTTGGCCAGCCTGCCATTTCCTTGACTGGACACCTCCAGATGGCCTTCATCATTGTGGCTGGGATCTGCCTCTGCCTCTACTTCCTGTTTCTGTGCTTCATGGTCTTTCAGGTGTTTCGGAACATCAGCGGGAAGCAGTCCACCCTGCCAGCCATGAGCAAAGTCCGGCGGCTGCACTATGAGGTGAGCATGTCTCTTGACCCATTCAGGAACTCACTGCCGCCTGCTTGATGTGAAAACACACGCACACACGCACACGCACGCGCACGCACACGCACACACACCCCTACACCTGGAGACTGGAAGCTTTTATTTCAAATACACATTGAGAGATTCTCATGTAATGTCGGGTCTCTGGGCAAAATAAGAGGCTAAGTCCCATGCTGAGAAACATCTACTCTTCTGGCCCGTCTCGATCTTGGAGTTTTCTGTACTATAAATGCCTTTCTATCCCCAGTGAGGAGTGAACTTGTTCAGCAGGTTCCTCAGCTTCGGAGTGGAATGTAGGCGCATGCTAGATGGGAGATCTGATGACGGTAGAATTGGGTTTTGGCTTGGGGTGAGCCTTTATTTAAGGTTCCCTTGCTGAGAATCAGCTTTAAGATTGGGGTTCAGCCCAGGTGATCTGATTTCCAGACTTCGAGAGACCACATTCCCCCTAAAACATCCAACAGGGGCTCACAATAGGGTTCAGTAATCTCTATTTATAGATCGTGGCCCTATTCAGATGAAGCATTCGATATCCTCAAATCTCAAATGCAGGTGACACATTCTTAATATTTCAAGGATCGCTTGGGTTCTTGCCTAAGTGGCTGCCCTTGGAGGCATGGGCCTAATTCCTCTGTGTGAAGAGAAACAGGAACTGCAGAACCACAGGGTTTTTATATGCAGTGGAAATAAGAGCCCCTGAACAGGAGGCATCCTCTGAAACACAGGTACCCTCAAATCCTGCTTGCAGGAAACCATGGGCCCTTTGGAGAGCTTTGCCTGTCTCTAGGGCTGGAGGGACACATGAGAAAATTCAACCAAATCCACTTCATGTTGATTAATATGCACATTTCTTTTTGTTCACTGGAGCAGAATTTTATTACAACCGCAGAAAACTTGGATTTGGTAACTTTGAACCCTTGCAGAGAAGCATAACCAGCTTAGCAGGGAAATTAGCAGCCTCGTGATGTGCTGTGCATATAATTTCCCAGACTCTGGTATCACTGTTTCATGAGAGATAAGAACCTAGGAAATATTTGGCCGAATAAATTCTTCAGCCACATTCACATCTGCAGGAGAAATGTTAACTTTGTGAAATTATTTTACCATCACTCTTAGGGATTTGGTTTTACAGATTTCTTTAAAATTAGCTTTTTATAGATTTACATATTAAGAAAAGGATGGATGGTAGCTGGTAGAATGTTAAACTGCTCTTTCTGTCCTAACAGGGGCTAATTTTCAGGTTCAAGTTCCTCATGCTGATCACCTTGGCTTGTGCTGCCATGACTGTCATCTTCTTCATTGTTAGTCAGGTAAGTGGAGCCTGAGAGGTCAGGATGAGACTATCCCTGGGAAAGTGCCTCTACTTTGCACAGAAAATTCTATAGAACTTCTAAGAAAGGAACAGAGGCTATGATTCTGGGTGGCTGACCAAGCTATTTTTTTTTTAATTGAAGTATAGTGATTTACAATATTGGGTTAGTTTCTGGTGTACAGCATAGTGATTCAGTTATATTCTTTTCACTATAGGTTATTATAAGGTATGGACTGTAGTTTCCTGGGCTATACAGTAGGACTTGGCTGTTTATCTATTTTATGTATGGTAGCTTGTATCTGCTAATCCCAAACTCCTAATTTATCCCCTCCCTTTCCCCTTTGGTAACCATTAGTTTGTTTTCTACATCTGTGAGTCTGTTTCTGTTTTGAAAGTAAGTTCATTTGTGTCATTTTTTAAGATTCCACATGTAAATGATACCATATGATATTTATCTTTCTCTGTGTGACTGACTTTGCTTAGTATGATAATCTCTAAGTCCACTCATGTTGCTGCAAATGGCATTATTTCATCCTTCTTTATGGCTGAGTAGTATTCCACCATATATTGTTGATGGACATTTAGGTTAGACTGAATTTTCCTTTCAGTGCAGCCTTGTAGGAGGAAAAAAGTTGCTAAATAAAGTAGAAGCCTACAGCTAGATTGAAGGGCACTTGTTTCCTTTACTTAAGAGAATAAACTTTTCAAGCCCTGTAGCAGAACAAGGAAGTATTAATGTGATTTGATCTTTATCTAACATTAACATAGATCCTTTTACAATCCATCAGCCATTCTTCATAACAATTATATTGCCACTTAAACAGGAAATGTAATTCAAAAGTCCCCTTGGTAGAGCTTTATCTTTCTGCCAGTTATTTCCCAAACTCATAATTTTACCATACTTGAAAAATTCTCAGTAATGATTTTCAATATGGGTAGCTCATTTTAGAAAGTGGGAAGTATCGTTTAAGTCATACATATTATGTATCTATCATCCATTTGAGCTTCACAAAAATCTTATGTCTAAATAGTATAAGAATTGTTATTCCATTTGCTAGAATATGAAATCTAATGGCTTTAGAGACATTTCCCATTTATGCTGTTTTCCTGCTGGGTGGGACTATGGATGGATTACTTAACAGTTCTAAGGTTTAATTTTCTTATCTGTAAAGTGGTAAAACAGTAGCACCACCTGAAGAAGGTGTCGGTAGGGACCATGCGCAGCAATGCTTGCACAGTGACCTGCACAGGGCCCGGCACACCGTGAGCGAGAAGAGCTGTGCTCTTGTGAGTGGCAGAAAGGGTGAAAGTCGTGCTGAAGGCTATCTGGTAACTTAGGGACCAGAATCCGGTCCTTTTGATTTTCTTTGCCAATTGCTCTGTCATCTCTATATTTGATGAAAATTGAGAATGTTAGTAGTGCAGACAAAGCCTTAGGATAAGACTTGCCCTGTTCTGCTAGCAGGCTTCCTTTTGGGAGATGGACTCCTAAACTTTTTTGCGTCCTGGACCCCCTAGGCCGCCTTAGGTGAAGGACATGGGACTCTTCTTTGAATGTTTTTAAGTGAGCAAAATAAAATACTTTGGATTTCAAAGAGAATTAGGTAGGTAGGTAGATAGATAGATAGACAGACAGATGGATGGATGGATGATATATATTTGCAGTTATACCTATTACAGAGACTTCAGGTTTATAACTAATTGGTATGAAAATGTGATTTCTATTGGTGACAAAATTACAGGTGGTGTTAATACTACAGGGATTTGATTTCTACATTCATACTTGACAGAAATGGTAACTTCCAGCTAGAGACTAGTGAAAATAAAGGTAGAATTTTTTCCTGCTCCAGTTCACCAACCCCTTGAATTCTATCCAAGGATACTTGGGGGTGCCTCTAATCCTGGAACCCTGTTGGCTACACCTTCTGGGCAGTGCTCATGTTGCTGCTGAAGGCTGAAGTGAGTAGAGAAAAATAAAACAAATACACATACATATCTTCAGAAGTTCTGTTCACCACCTCTGCTTTGACCTGTAACAGTGCTGTGTTTGTAGCAGACTGTTTATAAAACCTTGGAAACTTCACCCTCCCCTCCAAATGCAGTAAAAATATTTCAAATTCTGAATGGTTTTTTTATTCAACCAGTAGAGGCTCAACCAAGGGTGTCTGAGGCCAGACTTATCCCCTGACTGATTCCCGCATGTGACCAAATGCTTTCCAGTCCTCCGATCCCTCAGTAATGCAGTGTGACACCTTATACCGTCCGTTCTGCGAGGCTGAGAGAGCAGGACGCACTCCTTGGAGAAGCGGAATCTTAAGGAAGATGAGCTGAATAATAAAAGGAAGGAAGGGTACCTTTGCCCCTAACATGTTTCTGCAACTTTAGAAAGCTGAAGGCGTTCTCCCCCAGCCCTTCCCGCTGACCCTCCTGTTTCTGCAGGATCCCTCCCACCTGGAGTCAAGAGGGACATTTGGCTGATTTAAGGCAGCTACATGTTGCCTGAACTTAATCTTAGACATGTTTAATTAGTGCACCTTTTTGAAGCAAAGGAGGCCAGCCTTCCAAATCGCAGAGTTTGGGGCTTTTCTTTGGAGAAGAAGCTTAACATTCTACTGCCCCAGTATTTTCTAACAGGGCTCCAGTTGGTGACTGGCTTTTTATATCTGCTGCGACAGTCGGCCCAGAGTGGATTTCAACTCTAAGGGGGTAGCAATGAGGGCTTTTGGATTCCATTAGCTCCTTACATTCCCCCTGCTGGGTTATTTTTTTAAAGGTTTATTTATAGATATCTAAGACGTTTTCAGGCATAACTCTCAGTGTCCCAGGTACTGTATTAATACAGTCATCAGAGGATTTATTTTTTAATGTCATTTTGGAATGTCTCAGCAATGAGCTCACCTGAAAGAAAACCTATAGGGTAACTTTTTGAAATGGATCCCAGCCTTAGGTAAAAGGAATGTATTAAAACTCCCATTATGCTCTCATGCTTGCTGGGAGAGCCTGCATTTAAGCCCCATGAAATATAATGCGAGGGGATCTCGCCAGGATATTGAAGCTCTGAGGCCAGGAATGAAATGCCGCTGGAAGCTGTGGAATGCAGTGACCTTGAGGCTTTGTAGCTGGGGACTGAGGTGCTGTCTTTTAATGCCTGCCATTTTAACGGCCTCGGTCATAGCAACCGAGCTGGCACATCACAGTCGGGTGTTTTAGCCCCTTCCCTCTGGAAAAGAAAGAGGCGTTCCATTTAGAGGTGGCAGGCAGTTGGGAACAGAAGTGCAATGCAGGCGAGAAGGTCACCGGCCTTCACTGAGGGGACTCCAGGTGCCTGACATGCAGGTCAAGCCACATGCAGGAGGCTCCCAGAGAGCCTGTCCCCAGCTCTTTCTGTGTGTGTGATCACTTCATTCTGCTACTTACAGAGGAAATGTTTCCAGTAAGAGAGCCTGTGTCTGGGATTTGGAAATCTTGTTGTGAAGTGGAATGTTGGTTGTCAAGACTACTGGGTGTAAAGGGCTTTGACCTTCACTTGGCTACAGGGCTGTAATTGGGTGGTTTCACACAAAAGTAAATTGTTCAAATGTGGAATCAGGGAAAACAGGGACTCTGAGAAATAAGATTTTAGGCAGAGGAGAGACTTTTTTTTCCTGGTTGGGGCTACCTGATTTTTCTATCTGAAAGTGAAAAGGGCTGACTGTCACCTCTTTGCCTTGTCATTAATCAGATTTTGGATTTACAAGGCCTGCTCTGCTGAGGCTGCTGGTTGTGGTACGTATTGGTGGGAATGTACTGAGAGCTCCGGGCGTGAATAATTGAGAGAAGAGAGGGGAAGGCAGGTCTCCCAACAGTAGAGTGACAGTATGTAGACAGTCCATTTCTGCAAATTCAGCTCTTTGCCCTCAGCAGGAAATAATGCATTTAGAGACGACAAATTAAGTAGTATAGGTAATTCTGCCACTGCATTCGAAACGGGTGCACGTGTCCCAAAGCAAACATGAAATGGGGGCATGAATCTACTCTTTCCTCAGTCAGCCCTGGCTCCAATGTGTCCGTCATGGTACAAGAATCTCATTTCAGTGGTTCTGCTGTAAAATTGTGTCTTGCATATATATCCAGTTTATTATATACCACACATTACTATGTCTGGGATCCGTAGTGCATATATATATATTACTATACAGATTTGAATACAGAAACCTGTGTATGTGTGTGTGTGAATATATTATATCTATGTAATAATTTGCATTATGGTCAATTAAGTGAATTTCAAGGGAAGTTTGACCTGACATAAAAGTTGCCTTATATGCTAACTTAAGAGACTCACCCTTTTTATATACTGGGTCGGAATGCCCTTTTTGGAGTCAGAACCACAACTTCCTGGCTGAGTAGTCCTGGGCAAGATACTCTCTGTGTCATAGTTTACCCATGAGTTTTGAGTGCAAATATTACCCATCCACCTCACAGAGTTGTTATTCAGACTGAATAATACCTTCCATGAAAAATTCTTAGTAAAGTGCCTGACGTATCATTAGCGTTGAATAAATATTAACTATTATCCTTGTTATTATATTTAAAAATCTTCACTTTATTACCTGTGTTAACAACTTGTTTTGAGTGATGATGAAAGAACATAGTAGAGAGCACTGTGTAAATGAAATTGTACTCACTAGCCATTGACCGCTCGTCTTACTTTTAAGTGTAATTATTATGGTTTTACTACGGAATGCGGTGTCTTCTCTTTACTTCTCAGTCAGATATTTCCTAAAGGCGACTCTTCCCAGCCCCTCTTTCTACCTCCGTGGACCCGTGCTGGCATTCCTGCGCATCCCTGCATCCCCGTCTATGTTGATTCACCAGGCGTCTGTCTGGAGAGCACCATTGTGTACCAGGCGTGCAGGTGTTTCCTTCCATGGGTCAGTTATGCTGATCCCAGCAAGATTCCATTTCAGCAGAGTTGTCACTGCTGAGTGTCCCCAGCTTGGATCACAGGAGGGAGGCTCTCCTACAGGCCCTTCCCTAGCTGACAGGGTCACTGCCATGACAGAGCAAAGTGGGAGCAGTCTTACCCCTCCTTCCCTTCAGTTCACCCAGCCTGGCCTCCCCTCCATGACCACACAGAAGAGTTCCCTTTGTTATGACAACAGGTACATGTATTTCCAAAAGCTGTCTTAAGGCTCCTTCTCCTTTTTCTGTTATATGCATTAAAAACCATCTTAAGTATGCTGTAAGTATTGTAAGTTTTACAGAGTTAAGATATTCTGTACTTAAACGTAAGAAGAGTGACATTTGCAGAGGTTGCTAAGCGGTCCTAAATAGCTTGAATGCTGGTACACTGTTCTAAAATCATTAATGGTTATGAAATCCTTCTTTGCCAGAAAACATTCCTAAGCATGTCATATAAAGTGAGTTATTTTCCAAAGTAAATAAGAGTTAATGGTGGTGGTTTGTCTATAAACCACAAAAATGGAAAATTATGTATCACCAAGGCCAAACTGAAACTGGTAAGTTTATAATCCATTAACCTGGTTAACTGACACTCCAGGTCCTTCCGAAGGAAATACCTGTACTTAGAGCTTTGTTCTGCCTGGGGCCCCCATGGGTCATGGGTTAGGCTAGGGGTCCCAAATGAATTGAGACCCTCTGCCTGGTAAACAGGAGGTGAAGTCAGCCGGCTTGTTAAAGCCATTAACATTTAGGTGCAGCCTGCCACCTCACACTTTAGCTCCCAGAAGGAGGGGCTCCTGGAGATGGCTTATGTAACACAGTCTCGTTAAGCTATCACAGGAGCGTCTGTCCAGTCTAATCCTTTCTTTTACTCTCATTTATGGTTTCCTGTAGCAGGCAGAAGTGGTCAAAATCAATACACTGATCTTAGAGTTGGCATAAATGATTAGTCTCTTGGCTCAACAGTTCTCATGACAGTTCTTCGTGCAAACTGGATGTCATCAGACAGCCCTTAAAACCATTACCAAGTCATTAACATAGACAAAGGCAACCTCAAAACATTCTTGCCAAATTGTAAAACATATGAAAGCTTCCTAGTTCTCTTCGTGAGTAACTTAACGTAGGTGACATTGTAAAATAGGATTTATTGAGTGTCTGCTGTGTGCCAGGAAATTTCTAGAAATATTTTTACTTAATTCTCCTCAGTAATCCTTCAAGTTTTTGTTTTGCACTTAAGAAAAATGATGTTTAGAGTCTTAATCTTACTTCTCTTACATTAAAGGGAAAGTGAGTGGTGGAGCTTGGAACTGAACCCGGGGTCTGTGACTTGAAGCCTGTGTCTCTTGCCTTCTCCACATTGCCCCACCCAGGGAAACTAGTCACTCTGAGGATCCATCTGTTTGTTTAACCTGCCCTGTGGTGCATCAGGCACTTGAGCTAGGGCCGTCGCAGAGCTGGTCTCTGCCTGCAGGGAGCTTACATCTAGCTGGGAAGATGGGGGAGGAGGAGTTATTGTTGATGAGTGTTAGACTCAAGTGCAGTTTCATTAAGTCAGGGATCTCGACGTACTGCTGTTTCAGGAGGAGACACTCCCCAGGTGATGCTGACGTGCAGCCAGGATGAGAACCACTGACTTTCTGCCTCACATGTCGTAAGCCTTCGGTTAGCCTCAGTTCATGCTAGTATGATTCAGATTAAGAAATGGAGTCTCACATGGCCCTTCGCTTTCCCATACATAGAGGAGACGTGGTGTTTGTGTTAGTTCGTTCCTGTTGGAGTTGTGTTTCTTCTCAGTTCCAACTGAATGTCACTCCTTTTTCCATAGGTGACTGAAGGCCACTGGAAGTGGGGCGGCGTCACGGTCCAAGTGAACAGCGCCTTTTTCACCGGCATCTACGGGATGTGGAACCTGTATGTCTTCGCTTTGATGTTCTTGTACGCGCCGTCCCATAAGAACTATGGGGAAGATCAGTCCAATGGTGAGTTCCAGTCTCTTTGGCATAGCTTTATTCAGGATAAGCAGGCTTCTGTCTCTACAAGACTTAGAAAGCAAAGGCTCTGGGTTCCCCAGTTAAACTCTCCTCCAGGTGTGAACGTGCACCTCCAGGGAGACAAAAAGCCAGCATTGGGCAGAGATTTCTATAAGTCTGCATTTTTAAAAATCTTTAATACATGTTGGGAATATTGCATTCTAGTCTACAACATGTCCCAGTTTTAGTATGAAAAATTAAGTTTGTTTTCCTCAATTTTTGGAGCAAAATTGACTGTTGGAAAGCATGCCACATTCATTCTTCTAGTTTGAGAAGCACAGCCTGAGATAATGGGTGGAGGGGGACTGGCCCTGAGAGCTGAATGGAGCTGGCTTCCTCTTCCCCCTGGTCATTTTCCTGCAAGGCTGTTGCCACATCCAAACCAGTAGCTGTTCATCTGTCTCTGTAACCGTCCTCCCTGTAGGTGCTAGATGTGCTGTTTTTGATGTTGATGCTGCAGGAAGCCTTGGAGAACTTAGCCAGTTCAGTCATTTTATAGATGAGGAAACTGAGACCCAGGGAAGGATGGGGCTTGCCTGGGGTTTCTCCCCGAGCCACGGTGGAGGGAAGTGAATTCTGCTGCCTAGGCCAGTGCTGTTAACATGGAAGAGGCTCCTGTTTCTTTGCATCCTTAGCCCTGCACTGTTTGCCTCCACCCTTACTCTTTCTCACACCTGCTTTACCCAAGCCACATACCTGCTGTTCCCCAAACCGGAGATGCCCTTTATAAGATCAAAGCCAGTGCCCATCACTCTGTCTCAGAGCAGAGACCAGGACTTTAAGATCTGCATGTCTGCATGGCACTGAGGGTTGGCCTTACTCACAGGATGTGCTCAGCAAGTATGTGCAGAATGAATGGATTCATATCCTGCCTCCCTCCATCTGGGTCTGATAAAACCCTACCCGTCTCATAGGCCCATTTAAAATATTTCCTCCTACAAACCCATTTCTGATCACCCCAGTTGGAGTCCAGCAAATTATATTCAATGGAATATTGTTGCCGTGGGATGTTGGTAGGTTTTAATAGTCAAATAAGTTTGAGAATCATTGGGTCTTTAATCAGCATTAATGCGATTTTTACTGCAAAATACCTTAATGCCTTTAGCACATTAATTTGTATTGTGAGTCTTTTAAGACGGGTGGAGGTAATAGCACTTCCAAATGATGAAATCATTTGCCCCTAAAACCCTTTTGCCAGGCATCTTTGGGAACTAGTGTTCTAAGGAACTGTCCTGGAGGAACGTGGTCACATTTTTCAGGTGACACTCACTGTGTGGGTGTAGGAGATGAGTGCGCCTGTGTCTTCCCTCTCCTGCTGGAACCCTGGAACACTAACTTCTGGTGGGCAAGGACTGGTTCTTAAGGGTGCTTTGAAAATGTTGAGTGCGTTCATGCTTTAGAAATAGGAGTTCTGGATTAGCTTTCACATTTTACAGACAGGCCAGTGATCTTGAGATGGGGGTAAAAAGAGGGGCGTGATGACATGAGAGATGGGGCAGAGAGAGGAGGGCAAATGTGCGGAGGATCAGGGGTATGGGATGGTCTCAGCCACCATATGGCCCCAGTGCTGTACCTGCTTCTTTTGTGCAAAGGCATCCTGGACATCAGGCCTCTCTTTTCTTCCTGCTCCACAGCTTCTTGTCACATTCAGTACCAGGTCCATCTCTGGCCAGGTGTCTCTGGCAAGAATAAAGACCTTTGGCTTACCTACCTACCTGCCCAACTCTAAAGTTTGATTGACTTCCTTTCCAGAAAGTTGGGAGCTAGGCAGCCTTCAGCTTCCTTCCCACTGCTCGCACTCAGTGTTTTACTATATGCATGGAAATGGGAGCATGTGGTCTCTCACACAGTGGACCTCCATGATGGCAGCCAGAAGGGATCCTGAGCTTGCCAACAAGAACCTTGACTTCACCTCGTGGCCATCCTGTTGGACTTTGACAGAAACCGTATGGACCGGTCCTTGGCTTGACAGTATTAAGCTGGAACCTAATAGGTGAGGTTCCTGCCTTCCAGGGAAAAACCGCCTAAAGTGATCGCTGGACCTCCTGGGATGCTGGAAAGCTAATCCTGGTGGGCAAGTTACTGAATCCTGGCTGTGTGCTGTAGCACTTCACGTATGTAAAATCTTCTGGTTGATTTTGCTCTGTGACTATTGGCAAACTGCTTCACTTCTCCGGGCACCACTTCTCCCACCTGTGAGTGATCTCTTAAAGTCTTTTGAGAACATAGGGTTCTGTGGTTCTCTGTATTCCTGTTAGCAAGGAAGGGGCAGAAGAGCGCCCCCTGTCACAAAGCCCAGTGGGCGATTCTGTCCAGCGTAAGGGGTTTCCAGACACTGGTGAGAGTTCGCCCGATGCCAGCACTTTCAGGCACACGGGAAGCCAGAGCTGGGGCCAAGCCCACAGGGGCCGGGTGACTGCCTGCCGCTCTGTGGGGCCAGATGCTTGAGCTGCAAGCCATGTTAGGCGCTCCTGTTGAGGCTTCTCACCTGGTTCAACAGCCCCCCACTCCTAGGCTTCAGTCCTTGCAGTTGAGAAGAGCACTTGATCTCTTTCCTTTCAGATTTTTGTTGTTGTGGAAGGTAGTTTGATCTGTAATTTCACAGAAATCTCAGAAGCTGTTCTCAACAGGAGGTCACATCCCCTGAATCCCTTGCCAAGAGGTGTTCAGAAAAGTTCATGGCGGTTTTGCATCGTCATTTATGACGGGACGTGCCACTGGCCTTGAGTGCCAGATTCTAGGGATGCTAGATGGCCTGCTCTAGGCACAGCAGTCCCTTGTAGTGCAGAATTGTCCTGCCCAGAATGCCAGTAGAGCCCCTGCTGAAAGCCATTCTGCAGGCAGTTGAGCAGGCGGACTCTCTGGGACCCTGTTCTGATCGTAAACACAAGAGTCACACGATTTAGCAGCCCTCCTCGGCGACATGACCCGCTGTGGGCCCCTGGCAGCTTGTGCACGCCCCTCTGTGGTGCTGTGTCGGTGCGTTTGCAAGGGGCTTGCCCGTGCTGGGTTCTCCCATCACTTTCCTTCTCTCCTGACTTCCTCCGTCATCCGCGCCAGACCACACAACGGATCCTAGGAACCTCGGAGCGTGTGCCAGGATTCTGAAGCTCCTTGGAAAGAGCTGGTTTGGTCTATTACATGGAAACCTAGAAACCTACTATATTTTTAAATTGAGTCTCTGGATGACATTTCTCCTCCTCCCCCAGCCTTCCCAGGCTCCTTTTCCTTTCTTGTGGAAAGCTTTTATTTTTAAATGGCTTGGACTCCCTTCCTACTCTAGCTTTTAAGGTCCAGAGCCAAGAATTTGGATCTCTTGCTATGGAGAATGAATCCCAGGTGTGCAGCCCTTCTTGCCTTTGTGAGATGGGTCCTGGGTGGACCTCTGAGGAAAGCTCATTTCCGGGAACTTGAAGCAGTTTCCAATGCATCTGAGGCCAAAGAGGCTAAGGAAAGAGACAGTTTTGTTTGGTGTGGAGAGAAATGCTGAGTAGTGTCGGGGACAGAGGGTAGGAAGGAAGTGAAAGCAGAGAGCCTGAAAGTTTGCTTCTCCGTTTTGGTCAAGGGATGGACAGAGAGAAGCACAGCGGGCAGGAGGTTCGAGAGGAGGTCTGTTTCTGGAGAGCGTTTTCTCTTACATGTTTCTGTTTCTCTTATTGTGTGGCTTGGAAGGTGACCCTCAGACATGAACTGGGGGATGTCTTAGGGTTGAGCCTGGTGCTGGGTTTCAGAGGATGGAGTGACAGAGACACAGCTAGTAGCCTGGTCTGCGAGATAAGGCTTCTTCCTCTGCCTCCTGAAATGCGGGACGTGGCGGGACGTGGCGGGACAGCGTCATAGTGTCCAAGCCAGAAGGTTTTCATGTTGTCAGCGGCTGATTGGTGACGCAGGGCTGTGGCGTTCTGGGTTCCTACCTGTATTTTACATATATCTTATATATATATATATATATACACACACATATAAAATATATATATTTATATATACATATAAAACTATGTGTATGTTACATGCAATTGTGTGTATATACGTGTGTGTGTACATATACACAAACACACATATACTTTTTTTTTTTAATTTAGCAAAGGTTCTTTAGACTCCCTTTTGGGGACCATTCACATTCCTGCTCCTGCTGCCTTTTCATGAAAGCTGCTCTTTTTGCCCATGTCTGTGACCAACCTGTGGATCATTCTGGACGTCTCCCAGGCAGAAGCGAGCTGCAGCCCCAAGCAGAGGTGTCATCTCCCAGGGGTACATGGTCAAACCCTGAACACATGACACCTGCCCAGACCCCCTCAGTCACCAGGTCATGTGGGGAAAAACCAGGCAGAGCGGCTTATGACGTCAGACAGTTCTTGGTCCTAGCTTTCACTTCTCTGTTCTTTCATCTATAAAATCTCTGTCAGAAGGTTTTAGGAAGAAAGTGAAAAATGGAATTCCTGACTGGATGCCTATGACAGAGGGAACAGGAGACGCTCTGACTGCCGGCAGGTCCCTCTCCCTTCCTGCCCGCGCTGGCTGTCTTCTGCCCTGCCCGCTCGTTCTGCAGGAAGCCCCGGCAGCAGCCCTGGGCCCTTGTCTGGGGAGCTGCCGCGCGGGCCACCTTTGCACCCCGAGGCTCCTGAGGTGCCCTGCTGCTTGCTCCACAGGAAAGGTAGCTTTGGCTTTTGTTGCCTCCGTAGACATTTGCTGTGAGTCATGAGGCTTTGACAGGGGCTGCCTTTTGTTGCGCTCTTTGCCCGGCTCGTGTGTTGGGTGACCCGCACGCACCCTCGGCCAGCCTGGCTTCCTCTTGCCGTGTGCGCAGTGATGGAGTTGGTCTTACCCCCAGGGCTCGACTCAGATTCTGAAGTGGGTCTCAACAGCCTTTGTCCTCACCCGGTCTTCCTTCGGTGTTTGCCTGCATCCTAATCTCTTTTTCTCAGAAGGACACTGGTCCTGTTGGATTA